AAAAGTGCTCTATTGTTACTGTAAGTTATTTAAGAGGGTCCCGACATAATGTTTGCCCGTTCCTATCTAAGTTAGTTAAATATTTTATGTATTTTGTATATAGGAACTTTTCAACATTAAACTTGGTATTTTTTGTTCCTTTGATTCGACAACAGCAAATTATTTTTTTAAATATCACTTTTAACCATGTGAGTGGCAGTGAAGCAAAGTAGTGATGATACTTGTTTAAGCAAAAATTATATTAAACATTCGGTTACACTTCATTAAATGCCCACCTTGTTACAAGGGGCTGTTTCCTTGTTGACCAATCTGACTGAAAAATACAAAAATATTTAAAAGTGTCAAGGTCGGGACAGCACACACAGGCCAAGTTGGTTGTAGCAACCACAACCAGCTCAACTAACAGGGTTAACTACAGGCCCTTGAGTTATGTACCGACGGCATTTTTTTTCTCTTTAATATAGAACTCAAGGTGAAAGAATGAAAAAAAAAATCAGAGGAACTTTAAAAATAATAACAATAGAAAAAGTGCAAAACATTTAACTCACAAACACTCATTAGGTCAGCTATAATAAACATTTCTTTGATAGTTGGTCCTCTGAGGACTTCATAAAAACTAAAATGTACCCTGATAGGTGGGGGCGGGGGGGGCGGCGAAAGGTTCTCCACCCACTCTAAATTAATCTCTTTTTAAATAATAGATAATAAATAAAAGCTCCATTCCCCGAAGAGAAACCTTGGCAAGGAGACAACAAAACAATCCTGCGCAGATGCAATTATGGGCCGCACACTAAAATGAATTATGAAAAGAGTCACTTGGAGAGTTGAAATGCAGGATGCAAAACTTTCTCTGGGCAAAACACACAACAAACTGAAGAAAATGTTCCCTTACGGCCAATAAATGAATCCCACTATCAGGCATTTGTGGCCCTTTTTGCTTCAATAAGAAGTTACTAAAGGAGGTGGATTTGAACTGGAAATGGAAGCAGCACTGTGTTTTATAGGCCACAAATTTGGACGCTGATCTTTAGCTGCACTGAAATGTTAATAAACGTCTTATTATTCCAGCCAGGTCACTCGGTGTCCGTCCCTTCCTGTGTCCTGGTTGGCCTCGCTCCACATTGGAGGATAAGCTGACCTGGTTTGACACAGACGCTTGATTTGAGGCAGTAAACAAAGAGCAACGGGTGTTTGTCGTGGCAACATATCAAGATCGAGAAGGTAAAATCGTGGTTGATTGTCCGCCCGCTTCCCGCTTTAAAAACACGTCTGATGATCACCATCAAATAAGAAAAGAGACTGGCCATAACATACGAAAGAGGTAGAGACGCGCTGTCCTGATCATTCAGTTCCCTTCTTGTTGACTGTGTGAATGATGTCTATGATTGGGTGTCTTGTCTCTGAATGTGCCAGGTGATTGACTGGCAACCAGTCCAGGGGGGAGTATTCTGACTTTTGCCCCTAATTCACCTGGGATCGAGCCCAGCTCCCCGCCACATTTAAAGCCCTAGTAAAGTGAAAATAAACGTCTTGTAAGTAGCGACATTCGAATGATGACATGATGCGTCAAAAGTGTGAAAAATCAAGACGATCAGACGCCGCGGGCGTGTCGGCTGAATGCAATGAAACTGTGCCCCGCTCAACTGTCAATCAAGTACCGCACATCTTTCTTATGCCGACACATCCCTCATGCTTGAGTCATGAAAGTCTATCCGTTTGAAGCACGGATGGAAAACTGGCGGGGATCGCAGACCACATGCTAACTGTAAAACAAAACAAAACATTCATTTATTTATATGTTTATTTTAGGGGTCGGAGGGGTGGGAGGATAATGAAGATGTTGAATCAGCAGCAGTTTTGCTTCTGTTATGACACTGACAAACACAGGAAGTCGGGCATCTTATTGCTGTCAGAGCATTGTTAAAAATAATCTATCCGGTTGTGCGTGTTGAATCGGCCTCTGCTTTGCCATCATGCATTTGCTTTTGACTACTTTAACCAGTACATGACTGAATCTGTAAATACAGTATGTGATGATGACTTCGTACAATCAAAAAAGTTGGTATGATATCATAGAGAAAACACATCTAGTATATGCTATGTAAAGAAAATAAACCATGTATTCGAATTGTTTGTCTTAAAATGAAATTAAGGCAGGATTTTAAATGCAAGAACGGTTCGAAGACTGGCAAGTATATGGCATATACTGTACATCTTCTTTGATGAAGACGGCGCCCGAGTAGGCAGCCGGCGGCAAGTGCTCTCCGAGAGCCTTGCTTTGTGTTTTGGTTTGTCACATGGTCTTTGTTTTTACGTCATGTGGACCTGATGTGGATTGTTTTCAGCGTTTTTTTTGGCCACGACATATATCAGAGGAGAAGAATCTGTGCATGGTGGTTGCGCCTTCTCGGCAGCACGCGTGTACCAGCACTGATTTTGATTGGGAGGAATGTCGGCGCCATTTGACTGTCGGTGCTGGACAGCCCTGCTTGTGTTTTTTTGTGACTGTAATGGACAACATTTTTCACAGCCCCGTTTTGTTCATCGGAGATGTCGGTGCTGTTGGACAGTCTGCGGCTGGATGGATGGATGGCTGGCTTGTGGAGATGAAGATGAGAAGAAAGGAGCGTCAGCACAGAGCTCAGATGCGTATGTGGAACTGGGAGTCGCCGCTTGGAATTGAAGCGGATTTACATGGGACAGGAGATGTGAGTCAGTCTCTTTTTTCGTCAATGGATGCCACAGCTTCTTGTTTGCGTTCAAAATTCGCTTGTTACAGACGTGTGCACATTTTCAGCATGACGTCTCTGATCCACTGGTGAAAGGACACTTTGATTCTCTCCTCTTTCATCTATAACTGCTTCAAACAACAAAGTATATGCAGAAAAAGTGGTTAAGATTGCATGGCTGTCTGTGTCTTATGTGTTGTGTTGTAGTATTTTGTTATTTTATGTTAACTGTTTTGTTGATGGCGGCGCGGGTACCCGCAGTGGCCCCTCACTCTCCTGTGGTTGGACTGTGGTTGAGAGGAAAAACATTTCATCTGTGCTGTATGTTGCACGAGAGCATATTTGACAATAAAAGCTGACTTGACTTGACTTGAGTACTTAAGGTCATAGAACCACATATCGTGTATATTTTCTTTCAGTTGCATTGACTTGAATTCATTCAGGTGCACCTCCTTCTACAACATCTCACTCAGTTATTGCAATGATGCCAAAAGAGGAAGAATATGACACATTTCTAATTTTGCAGATGCTCCTCCATCATTTGCCCAGTGACGAAAGTGGTTCCTTCCTCTGAGATCTAACAATCTGAATAATGCATCTGTCTCCTTGCACGCTACATCACATTTAACATTGCTAATTTTAGAAAAGGAAAGAGCATTATTTTTCAGGTAAGCAAACCCGCGGTATGTCCTGACACTTGCCATCGGCGTTTAAGCAAAGAATACTGTCTGCGATCAAAATGGGTCGCTTCTTTCCCCTGGAGCTTGTAAATGGGTCATATAGTGATGTGCTGCAAGGAAGAGTTCCACTATTTTAAGACTTTTAAGGATTGTAGTGAAGGTTACAAAAAAGGAGAGCAGAGTTAGCCTGTGGCATTCACTCATCCAAGACATAGGACGGATTGACGGGGAAATATGGTTAAATCATTTGCAGTCAGACCAGGGCTGAATGATGAATCGAATTGAATTGCACCCCCCCCCACCTCCCCCATATTGCAATTGCGATTTTATATGCAATTATTTTTTTCAAGATCCTCTTCCCATTTATTTTTTCAACAAACACAAGCAATTAACAAATCTGTATTACAGTAAACAATCAGATTTATTTTACTGTACGTAAATGTTTTGGTCTTATCGATTAGGTCTTTCATGCCTTCAAAAGTGGCACTGTACAAATTCATATTCTGTGTATTGTGGGTCGGTGGGAAGCTTGGAGCTAATCAGTGGATGTACAGTGCTCCTGCTGCTGCTGTGTACAACACTGTGACGCCAAGCAGCCACGTGTGGGCGTTTATGAAGCTTGACATGTAAGGAGACAGCTCAAGCCGTGTGGGATGCTGAAACACATTCATACCCATATATCCATAGTGGTTATTGAGGTTACGTGAGGGTTATAAGATCATCTACGAACAACATTCACAGCACAACCATTTGGTAAAAATCCATGTATCCGTCTGTCCATTTTCGATGGGGATTGCTTGTCCGCATTTGGGTTGCGAGTGGCTCAAGGTGAGAGGTGGGGGGACATATTCTATGGACAACCATTTCCACTCGCTGTCACAATTGGGGACCATTTATGTGGCTATATTTTTTTCAAACTGTTAGGGACATATTGTCTTTTTACAGGAACTTAAAATAGCATAGTTTGTGCTGCCTCACAGAAGAGAAAATGCGGCAGAAATAGCAAGATTCGGGATGAAAAATATGATGCAGTACATCTCCGTGTACTCGGAGTTTGGCACTGGCAACTTCGCAGATTATTTTTTTCATTATTTAATTTAGTTTTTGTTTTGTTGCATTTATGTAGTTGGGGGAGGGCGGTTATTGCAGGTTCAACCCCCTCCTCAATTTCCCCCATGCTTCGTGGGAAATGCATATTGAATGTTAGTCAGTGTTTTTAAAGAAGTTGTTGGGTTACAAAAAATAAAAAATAAACAAAAGCCCTAGCACCCGTAAAAAAAGAAACTAATTTTCTATATTGTTTTTGGCTATTCACGTGCCGGCTCGGTCCAGACATACATTTATATTTTGTAAATTAATATGGAGCATTATCTGCACCACAGCACCAACTGCTGGACAAGATGTGGCACTGCCACTCTTGCCCCTGATGAAATATTGTCACCAGCTGAAGAAACAATTTGATTTAATGGACTAAAGTAAAAACAATGGTGGGCCTGCTATTCATTCAGATCACATCATACATCCGACCTGGACTTCACACAAGAGGAAGTGTCTACAGGTTCAACCCCCTCCATCACAACACTACACATGACTTAAGGAGGATGTCTTTTGTGAAAGCAAAGAGAGGAAGAGACAGGGGGGAAAGAGAGCAGCTTTTTCGAGAGGCAGCTTCAACCAGTAACTCTTCTTCTTACGTTAAGGATGCGAAGTGGACGATCACTTTGGATACAAACGCTGCTGCTAACTTCTTTACCACTATGGGGTAAGAAACATGCTCCATCGCCACGCTCGTCCAATATTATCGACCACTTATTAGTGTGTTTGCATGTTGCATGGCTAAGCTGTTGCATCATCTGGAAGGGGAACTGATTCCTCTTGTGTAATGTCCGTTTCTTTTAACTATAGGAACACTTTGGGCTTCCACGTCTCCTCAAAACCCGCCGGCACCTGAACTACGGATACATTCGCGGTCCGGGGACTCTGTGGTGCTGGTTTGCCGGACCTCAGAAGGCCACCACGGAGTTCTCTTCAAACTCTTCAGATTCACCAAGGAGGTTTTTATTTTTTTGGGGCATCAGATTTTCTGTGGTGTTATGTGTGTGTGTGTGTGTGTGTGTGTGTGTGTGTGTGTGTGTGTGTGTGTCCACTTGATTACATGTGTTAAACATTCCTTAAGGTGGATTCAGTGGAGCTGTCGCCGTCTGAGGAGGTCCTCTTCACTGTCCAGCTCAAAGTGGCAACAAAACCTGAACTTTTTTGCTGTATGTATAAGAACCAGCAAGGCCTCTACAGTGCTTTCAGTCCCTATTTAAAGACAGAACATCAAAGAGGTAAGTGCTACTCCACTAAATTATACACAATAAGAGTCACATGCCACACCACGACTTCAACGGAAAAAAAAAAAAATCAACTGCACTGATTTGACCGTTACTTGTGGCATGAAATAATAAACACTCCCATCCGCTACGGTAGCATGCAGGTGCTCCCTGTGTCGTCTCATTGTCCTCTGCTGTGTGTGTGGTGTGCGCGCGTGTATTGCGGTTGTCACATCCTGCATTTCACATTGAAAATTTCCACCCACTCACAACATCAAACACAATGCACACTGAAGACAGTTACAACAGGAGGTTTGGTAAGCAAGTGCGGTAAACCATGGCAGGATACTACACTCAGAAACGATACATTCTAAGGAATATATGAAATACATTATTCCATGGGGTGTGTCTTTTTTTCTGCATTCATTGAAAAAAAAAAAAGGGCCTCTTGGGCCTTCCCACATATTGGGAATTTTACGCAGGCAGCATGGTGGGATCGGACACAGGACAGCGCAGGGTCAACGGCAGCATGAGGCAAGCTTGATCATATTTGTCGCTAGTTACAAAGTGACCAAACAGGAAATACCCTCATGCCATTTCCCACCTAGTTTGGACATAAATTAGTCTGCAGCTTGGCGATATGTATTTTATATTCACTCTGACTTTGCTTATAATAAGGAGGAATAAGTGAGTATGGGTTCATCTGATTCATATGGCATGTCAGGATCTGGGGGAGTTTAGACTCATCCATGTCGCTTCTTTTTTACGACATCACAGTACGTTGTCTCTCTGTCCTCTGTCCCACACCTCAATACACTTGAACGCCGCAATAATTACTAATTCCGCCCTAATCTGGTCTGTACTTTTTTCACTGTCGCACAAAATATAGCAACATTTTTTTTTCACTTTAAAAGAATTTTGTTACCATCTCACTTCTTGTCCAATGTTCCTGAAATAGGCTGCACCCTAACGAGTATTGATTAACTGAGGAAAAATGGTCTCCATAGGGTATCAAAATAAATGCTGACTACACTGTTGAAATGAGAAATAAAGATTCAGGGGGAACATAGAACCTAAAAACCCAATGAGCGATTAATTAACCCTGTCAGGGACAGCTTATCATGTTATCAGGTTACAGGGTGCATGAACGGGTTAATCGATGAAGATGTTTGTCCCATGTCTGTTGTTCATACAGTCATACATCTTGCCTTCCTCTCCAGATGTTGCCCCCACACAGGCTCTACCCAGCCTGCCACCTCCAGTCTTATCAGTGGAGCCCCCCGGCGGGATGGTTGAACGTGGCGACATGTTGTACTTCAGCTGCTCTGTCCCAGCTCTTCAGTCCACCTACAAACCAACCTCCTTCATTTTGCTGAGGGCATCATCAGGGCGGGAGTCTATAATCAGCCAGAATCATGACGTACGCACGTCAAACTTGGAATCCCAACCAGGGGTGTTCAGTGTGGGCCCGGTAAAGCAGGGAGAGGGCGGCGAGTATGCCTGCCTCTACTACACCACTAGTGGAGTGGACATAGTCAATTCAACGATCAGCAACAAAATTCAAATAACTGTTAGAGGTATTTGACACTGTCTGTCCATCGTTTTGACCCATAATGTGGAAAACTGAATCATTTGTGATTCTTCTCGCATCTTTTTTGGGATATGTGACCAGATGATCTGCCTGTACCCACCCTCGTTCTCCAGCAACACGCACAAGTGTGGCATATGCTCTGCACGGGATCCCCTGCATACCCCGGGGCTGTCTTCACCCTGTACTTGATGGACAGTCAACTTCCCGTGGACAGTCACCATGTACAAATCACGAGTCACAAGAGCGCCTTCGCAATGCCAGTGCAGGACACTCTGATGGCTTTGTACCAGTGCCAGTACAGTGTCCTCTTGGGAGGGAAGTGGATTAATTCTGAACGCAGCGGCCCTCTGGCCATTTCCAAAGGTATTGATTTTTCCCCGCTTGTCCTCATTAGTGTTGCTGGTGAGCTGAGCCTCTTTTGACAATTTAGGTCTGGTTGGTCTGGATGGATGACTTGAAAACACATGGGCTAATTTCTTCAAGCTAGAAACATGTCTATGTTATGTGAACCATTTTGTAAAAATGAACTGAATATCACAAAATATGCCCTGAGATTGACCGGCAACCAGTTTAGGGTGTACTTGGCTCTGGTTCAAAAATCAGACGGGTTAGGCTCCAGCTCACTCGTGATCCTAATGAGGACAAGGGCTTCCGATTTTTTTTTAACAGAGATTTGCATGGATTTACATGCAAAATGTGTCCTCCTTTTCAGATCTTCCTCCTCCATCAACACCAGGTAGCATTATTTTAATAAAAAGACCTTTCCATACCTCAATTTACATACATATGTGTCTTCCATCTGCGCAAATGTGTCAGGTGAGGACTGGCCTCTTATACTTGGCTCCTTATCCACTGCGGTGCTCTTCCTCTGCTCACTGGCCCTCCTGGTGGTGGTGGTGCACAAAAAAGGTATTTCAGCCAGTGCACCACTATGTATGTTGCATTCTTATAGACTGAAATGTGCTCGTTTTTCTTGAAGTGAAAGCAGCAGCTGATGAAAAGAAGAAAAGGTATAGAGTCAAGCACAGCAGTGTTAGTTTGTCATTAGTGTCAAAAAGAAGGAAACATAAAAGTGTGTGGCTTTTTTTTTTTGTTTCTTAGATCGGAAGCAAAGTTTTGGACTCAAGTTCACACCAGGGACCATGTTGTTGGTGAGACTCTTTCCGATTCATTTTGCGGAATTTTCATGCCGACATTTGTGCAAATCAAATGATTTATTTAAGACACTTTATTTATCTTGCCACTGATGAAAAGTGACAGGCAGAACAATTACTTTTCCACTAGATGGCAGAAGTTACATAATTAGTTGTATCCCCCTTATTGCCATTCATACAAGAACGGCATGGCATGATCGCTGAGTCAGTACATTTTAGAATAAACTCAAACAAGATCCACCTTAATTTCAGTATATTGTACTGTATATTCTTTTTTGTTGTTGCCATGTAATGTAATGGAAAACGTGCCTTGGCCCAATACAATTTGGGAAACACTGATCTAGTAAAGTACTGAATTGATATTGTGATGATATTGTGTGTGTGTTTTTTTTTCCAGACCTAACCCTCAGGTGTACCAGTGTCAACTCCCAGGTAATTATTACTCATCAGCTAGAACGACATTTGGCAACTTCAACAAAAATCCTCCAATGATCTATCAGCTATAGATATGTTTCCAATAACTTATTTCAACCTTTGTCCAACTACAGATAAGACATTTATCTCATTTACGTGTCAGCTTTAATTCTCGGCTGCATGTCTTACAACCAATGTCAATACAGTCGACTGGAATTAAATTAGCGCTTCGAGTAAACCCACTTCTTGTATCCCAACACGGTGAGGTAAAAAAAAAATCATCGATGATAGCACGGACACGACATTATAGGTCTTCCGTTTTGTGTTAGCACGAGCATTGATGCTAATCCTCTGAATCAGTGTCAATGTTACTGCTAACACAAGATGAGAGGTCTTCCGTGTTTAGAGGGCGATTAGCACTAATGCTAGTGCTATCTCGGGTTGCCAACATTCGTCAACTAGTCATGATTACGCCGATGATCAAAATCGCCGACAATAACTTTAATCATAAACGTTATTGTTTATTTTTTAAGCTTTGTTATTCTCTCCAAACTTCCTCACCTCGAGCTACCTTGTTTGCATTTCTGTCCTTGATGCACACGCGTTGCGGTGGCGATCCGGGTCAGCAATGATGTAACCGAAAGCGCTTTGGCAACGGGATTATGTTTTATTGGCGTTAGCAACAGAGGCCAAAAGTTTGGGAGCATTTCACCAAAAATACTAAAGAGGAATGTGATGAAAAACGTGCAAAACAGAATGAATGGCCTTTCATGACAGCATCTAAAAGGCAAGCACCTTGTGGCTGATTCAGTTTCTGACACAGAGAGTCAGTCGTCTATGAAAACTGTTTAGCTAACTTTATTAGCTTCTATTACAAGTCAGTGAGCTACAAATTTATAGCTGTAAATGTTAACATTAGTTTAAGGCTAATAATGACAATTCCCTTAGCCTTACCACACAGGTTATGTGTTTTATGTAATGTTATAACCACAGATATGGGTATAAAACAAAATACAGTAATCCTTCATTTATCGCAGAGCATTTGTTTTTAAGAAAAGCCGTGAATTTCTTATTTACAGTCCACAGTCCCTTAGCCATCAGATTGCAAAACACAATGCACTCTTTAAAAAAAACAAAAAAACGAATGAACAAAAAAAATCTGTGAAACAGCCAAGCCATGAAAGATAAACTGTGTTATGGTGATGGAGTACCGTCTGCCAATGCTCTGTAGCAGCCCAGCTAAGCAATGTGCCGACGTGGTGGCCACATTGGTGGGGGCAACGTTCTAGTCACAGCCATTGCATGTACATTGAAAATAAAACTTCCATGTCTTCCATGTCCTAACATTTATATCGTCGGATTAGCATCAGAGCTAATCTATTGATTTAGAGCCATTGCTAGCACTAACGCGTTGTGGTGAGAAGAATTTGGAGGCCCTCCACTATGATGAGAACTAATTATCCTCCATCATAACACCAACACCACATGAGAGGTCTTCCATGCTCTTCTGCTTTGTAGAACTTGTGTCAGTGGACCACTGATCAATGCTAGTAGTGACACCCCCAAATCCTCATCTGGTTGAGGGGGTGATTTGCAGTAGCACTAATGCTAAGGCAAGAGGTCTTACAACTTGAGGGAAAAGTGATTACCCCTTGTGGTAGTACCAACATGAATGATGTGCTGACTGCTCCACCAACATGTCGTTTGGTGTTGTACCGACCAGTGTACTATCAGGTGCCTTTTTTTTCCCCCAGGTCAAACAATTACCTATTTCTGCTTCAGGAAGAAATGCAACATCGAAATGTGAAAAACTCCCCCCAAACTGCGTGTTAGGCTGCCAAAAAGAGACATAAACTCGAAGCTACGCTGCAGGAAATACTTTCATGCTGGGTTGCTCGCAGCTTGTGTTGTGATTGTGTTGATGTTGTGTGTGCATGTGTGTGTACAGGAATGGGCCAGGGGGGACATGGGCACAGACAACACCTCCAGATCCCCATTATGGAACTCCCACTCCACATTCACAAACCCTATCCATTAGAAATCTCTGTCTCGCTCTCTTTCTCTCTGTATATTTATACATTATTATGGTGTGCCTGTGTAGCATCAGCTGGCTTTAAACACAGCAGGACAGGAAAAGCAATTTCCTTACTTCCAATTTCATGTGGAGAGGCACGCTTCTTCAATTAGACAGGATGTGATGTTTGCTTTACGTACCTGCCACTGATCCACTATTACTAAATAAAAACTGCCGTGTTTACTTGTGAGGGTTGTATTGTGGGATGTATTTATGATTCTTCATTAGTTTTGATAATATTTAATTATGTATGACTGTAGACTGCATTTTTTTATTTAGCAGAACATCCTACAGCGATCTTTTGTGTGTAAAAGCAAAGTCATCCATTCTTTTAGCTTACTTTGTGTTTTTGTTGTCGTTTTCTAAATGAAAACAGACATGCAGATGAAAAGCTCTTTCAGAAAATGCTATCAATCCAACCATTTCTGCACATTTTAAAAACATTATTTGGCCCTGGGAAATAGAAAATGATTGGTATAAATTATAAAACACACACTAAGCACATACTGTATATTGTATGTACTGTATATGCGCAATGTATACACACACACACATACACACACAGGCAAAAATTCCCCTTAATTAATAATTTCAGCAAGTGAATCAAAATGAAAGAAAGTGATGTTTCATAATGGTTCTTATTTTGGATTATTAAAAAAAAAAGAGACTTAACAGAAATATGAGATACTGCACGTACTGCAAACAGAATTCTTTCATGCCCATTAACAAAGAAAAATTATTGCTAATTTGTATTCGGAGGTTTGGGCGGTGACCTGAGTTATGTGGACGTGTTCATTTTGGACTAACACAACTTGGAGATCAATTTTGGATTTTAAGGAGAATAATTACGTTCACTGCTAAATATCCTGCAGAGGGCACTGTTTAGTATCAGCGTTCAACCAAACAGACTTTCTGAAATAAATTCTGCATTGTTCTTGATGATGACATAAGCAAACAAAAAAAACCGATGTCATCCCACCTCGGTATGTGCACTGCGATACAACAAACAAAAAGTATGACAAAGGTCAGCGTTTTTTTTTGTGTTTGTTTTGCTATATGGAAGAAAGAGCACACTGGAGGGCAATGTACCTTCACCTCGTTTTGTGTGCTGCACAGGAATTCAGCACTGAAGGTCACTCAGTGGACTTTGGGAAGTGGCGGAAGATTGTCTTGTGCTGATGACTTTTGTCATCCAAAAGAGCAGCTGTTTTTTGGAGTTTTTTCTTTATTTTTTCTTTGTTGGGATGCTTTCACATCCACTCAGCAGACACTTTATTCGATACTCCACTGTCTGAGAGTCTCCTATACAAGAGCTGTATCAAAAATTCTGAACAAAGATAATAATTATATGCCTGTGAGTATTGTTATATTTTCTGTCCAACTGCATTACTCCACCGTTTGTGTTCAAATATCGGTTCCTTGTAAAACAGCAAATAATCGATACTAACGTTAGCATGTCAATGACATGTTGAATTGTTTGTTAGCATTAAGCTAAATGGAAAGCAGTTACTGTATCATAATACTATGGACATTGGAGGGGTAGTATTGTGATAGTATTGCATCATGAGTACCCAATGATTCCTACTCCTCCTAAAACAAGTGTGATTATTAATATTCAAGTAAACAATCTGACATATTTTATATGCATATTTTACATACATGATTGTTTTTCTTTTTTTAAACACATCTACGAATGACCTGGCCAATCTGTCCATGAAAAAAAGGAGGTGGAAGTGAAAAAAAAAGTCACCAAAAACTTTTGTGAAATCATTCTCAACCCTCCTGTCTTGTGCAGAGAAACAAAGACAACGAAAGTCTTAGTTCAACGATAAGATTTATTTAAACTACAATTGATGGAGAAACATCATTTACAGATCTGTGATGGAGCGACTCCCCAAGCAGTGAGGTGCGGCCCCTCGCATACCATTTTTTTCTTCTTGGGAGGGGTTAAAGTCTGAGGCATAACCTTGCACAGCAACGAACTTGCATAGCAACACTTACAGATAGCAGTATAAAGTCTGACGCACAACCTTGCACAGCAATGAACTTGCAGAGCAACACTTACAGATAGCATGATGTTTGATATTAGTTCGTAGGTGATTATAAGATACAAGTTAACACTTCCACTCCTAAGAGTGTTCATTGCACAATTGCCACGTCACATTATTGATCATGTCATATCATGACTTACTCTATGATTTGCAGTCTAAAACCGTAATGAGCCGGTCTTCCATCGCGCATTGCTGTTTTATCTCATCCTCGGTATCCTCTTTTCTCTTGAACATGCACCAAATACACCCCCCACACCCAGGCGAAGCATTATGATGCAAATATATGAGAAAAATCTGTTTTGATGTGTGTGGATGATACTGAAACACCCACAGGGTACATTGCATACTTAAAGTGAAATATGGTGGCATGGTTTTATTTCATGAGCCCATCGTTTATTCATAACACATATTAAGGAGACGCGTTGAGACAAAACAACCGCTGAGTTGATTTGTTGTGAGCCTACCTGACAGTTTTACTATGGTGAGTATTAGGTTGCTGTATTTGTTTTTATTTGTCAAGGCAAATGGAGAGAAGCTACGTCCCTTAAAGTCATGTGACATTTATGCATCGCTGTGCAGAAAATCTGGGCAACTTTACTGCTATTCTATTTGATGCCACCAGCCCCGATACCCAAAAGAAAACCGCAGTGCATAAAATATGATGTTCAGAAAATAGGCCAGAGTTTCTGTGATCTTCATCTCATCATCCCATTTTGTTGCATTTTTAGCACCATGACACTGTTGAAGCAACAGTGTGCAATTACCCAATCTTGCGATTAAGGCAACTAGCTTGTAAAAAGGAGATTAGCATCTCTGTCGTTGCCATGACAACCTTAGAGTGCCTTCTTCAGAATATAAAGCTATAAAAATTGGTGGATCAGCCAGGACTCCTTGGTACTTGGGTTAGCACGAGCATAATTAATTAAATTTACAAAAATGGAACTCTTTTTTTTCTCTCTCCCACTTTTGCTTCAATTCAACAATCATCATGTTGCTCCTTCTGGAGTGGGTGTCTTGACTATGTGGGGGGAATATAATACAGGCACATGGACATACAGGGAGGTAGAGGAGACATCATAACCCCGCAGCAATATTAATTGCTCTTTGCTGAGGATAAAGAATGCATGCCTGGGAGTATTGTTATGTTATCTGTCTACATGTGTTGAGTGTTCAAACATTTGTTATTTAAAATATACAGTATATATATAAAACGCTGCCACATAGATGCTATTTTTAAGTGTGGTGTTTGGATTAGCATTATGCTAGTGGACATAACGGCTGAACTACAATATGTGGTTGTATAATGAAAAGACAAGGAGTAATTCTCTTAGTTTTTTGTTTAGTTTGACGGGAAACTTCTTGAATCGTATTGTACGCCGTGTACCGAGATACACATTTTATTGTCTTTTAATGGAGAGTTGCACACCTCTGATGAGATTTTTTTTTTTTAGATACTTATCAATATACTGTCATTATTTCATTATTGATCATGTGCATTGGCAGCGATTTGATAGGTTTTTTTTCAAATAACTGAATAGTTGCCTTACAAATCTAGATAATTACCGTGATGGATTTCTTGACTTTAAGAAAAGGATTTACATGATACCAACAAATATTTCCGCCAATCTAATATCCATAGCAAAGAGAAACACTGCTTAGAAAATAGAATACGAAGAGTCGCCTGAACCTGCTGGCTAATATCAAGTTTCATTCCAAAGTTCAACATTTACTGCATGACTCAAGAAGGTGTCAGCAAGTGAACTAACAGAGGCGCTTTTATTCACGTATGTGTACTCTGGATCATAATTCACCTTCGAAATCCAGATCAAGTTTATTGCAGCGTAATCCGAGCGCAGCGCATTTAGGTAAAGTCCGGGATTAAGTCCTGGTTTGTTCATACCACTGGGCGACAAGATCATTAGGAAATTGTCAACTTGGTGATCACATAAAATAATACGGCAGTGAATTACATGCAGATCTTTTTTTTTTTAATCGGATTCCACTTTACACACTCCTGCAATTCGAAACGGCTGTCAGTATGAAGCAGTGTGCTACGTTAACCACAATAATTATAAGGAAGAAAATTATTCTAAAGACTCAATATGGATTAAATATAATCAAATAGGCCAATGATTGTGTATCTACAAATACCTTTGAAGTGAAAAACTAGCTGGCATAAGCACTAAAATGTGTTTTTTATTGCATCAATATTGTACTGGAGGGCATCATAAAAACATAAAAGTTTAGATTGTTTTTACGAGGGCCGGACCGATATGTATTTTTGGAGGCCGATGCGGATTTGGCCGAATAGAATTCCCCTAACAGATTAATCCACTGATTAATGGAAAAAAAATGTACATACCGTATAATGAATACAAAAAAAAAACGTGAATTTGGTTCCATAACACAGCATTAAATATATGAATTACAGACAGAAAAAGCAAAATTGGCAAAAATCAGCAGATTTTTTTGTGGGGGTGGGGGGGGGATGTTTGAACGTAAGTATCTTTTTCTTATTTTGCAACGTGTTCATGTAAAACAAAACAGCTGATTTTTAAAGAGCTTGATTGAAAAGGTCGGCCGATTAATCAATCAGACCCTTGCTTTTATCTGGATGATAAGAGATAATAAGAAAAATAAATCTGTTAAGATTATACCGAGTACAAGTGCCGTTAGTTTCAAGTCATTTTTTCCTCCTGTCTGATATCCTCACTTTCACCCTCATCGTCATTCACACGCTCTCCAAAAATCATCACTTTTTTAACTTGCTCCTCGTCATTGATCTTGCAGGTTGTGTCCGTTGACCAGGCCCGACTCCCAAAGGTGCACCAAGGGAGTCTTGTGTCTGGAACTGTGGGAGGCCTGCACCACCTAAATGACAGCGAGAATGCAAAAAGACAGGGGGCGATCATTGATCAAGGTAAAAAAAGCGAGGAGGGGACTGAATGAGTGGGAAAACCGAAAGAAAATGAAAAATCAAGGCAATCAGATGTACGATATGAAGATGAAAATGGATGAACTGATTTAACACACTTTCAGAAGGCTTTGAGGGTTTCTGATATGTAGTCCTTTATTATCTCAACCTAATCTAAATCATCTTTCCCCATTGCTATGAATGGAAATTGCATTAATTCGTTCAGCCTCCACCCCCCCAAAAAAAAACAAAATTAAAAAAAAAATTTCACAGAAAACTAGTACAGTACTCTATAATATTGTACTTTCTAAAAACTTACAATAGTAATAATCATGAAATCCAATTTTTGTTACACTTTGCTTCAATTGAATAGCCATTGTGCGTCAATTGAATGGCCAGCCAGACAGATGGACGTCTGTCCAATATTGACGTCTCCATTCATTTCAACTAGGCTCAGCTCCTCGCAGAGGATAAAGAATGCATTGTATAACTGTGAGCACTGATAAGATTGAATGCCTAAAAGTGTTGCTGGTCTTTTGCGCTTCCAAAATGGTGGTCATTTTGTTCATTCTTGCCCATCTCTGATCAACTCCTCCCCTATTCACTTGTGTTGTGGTGAATGTCTTGTGAGATATACAAACACTCGACATCCACTTGCTCCTCTAATCTTTTTCTGTCCTATTGGCTATAGGTCCGTTTCACGTCACAATCACAGCCTGTGGCTCAGCCCAACTCAATGTTGACCACACACACAGATGAAGATTTGTTGTACAGGCTTCACATTTACGATTGTGAGTCCCAACCGTTTTTTTTTCGAGCAGATCATGAGCAAAAAAAAAAAAAAAAAAAAATCACTCTCAGCACTACAAAATCATCATCACTCAAGATAATCTCTTAGAGACATCTGATAATGGGGCCTTTGATGAAAGGGAAGGAAAAATGCCCCCACTTGGCCCGATTATCGTTTTCTACTGTATTTACCCTGCTTGAAACACAGATGTCAAAATGTGATGTTGATTGCTGAATTGCTTTAGTCCCACTGTATTTCCTCTCCATATCATCTCTTTGGATGACTTTCCTGCCCCCCCCCCCATCTTGTTTTGTTCACACACACACCCACCCACCCCGAGGCGAGATTATTACGGCGCCGTAATCAGCCACCGATGATGAACAGAAAGAACGTGTGTGGAAAGAGGCGACAACACTTTGAAATAGATGCAAGGAGCCATAATGCAGGTAATGGGAGACACACACACACACACACACACACACACACACACACACCCACACACACACACACACACACACACACACACACACACACACACACACACACACACACACACACTCACTCCCCAGACTCTTCTTCCCTGTCTCCTTATCTCCCAAGATAAGCTGCTCACTGTGTGTTCTGAGAGCTATCAGATGTTTTGCGGCCCACATTTGGCGCTGTTGAGATGCTCGTTTTGAAGTCTGTGAACTTTTCAACAAGAATACGTTTCAAATTCACCACCACAGAA